GCCAAGCACCCAGCTGGGCCAAACAAAATGTTGTGGAATACAATAATCCTAAAAATTGATCTTTTGGAAAATAACACAAAAACATCACACTTGGGAATTCCACACTACAGATTTTTTTCAGGTGTTTATATAGTAATGAAAAACAGGCATACTCTAAAGTATATCATATGATACCATATTCTTTTTTCATGGGAGCTAAAGTGTATCATCATGGTTGTTCACACAACGTCTATGACACTGAATTTAAAAATTCACACAGAAAGATGTAAATGACAAAGTAAAATTAAGTTCTTCCTTTCCCTCCCTCACTCATCAAAAATAAAAATTTTAGATAAGTTGTACTCTCTGGTAGACAGATATTATATTGCTGCTTACCAACAGATTGGAAAAGCAAAGAGATTTCTCAAATTTTCTCTTTTATGATAGTAAACATTGGCACAGCACTAACTTCTAACAGTTCCAGAATGAATTGTAAAATAGTATGGTATCTTACAAAACTCAAAATATTAATTCTTAATCTCTTCCCCTCTCCCACCATCCCCAAAGTATTTTTACTTTGAAAAATTTAATGGTTTAGCAGAATTTGAAAGCAGAAGGTTTAAAAAAGTGATAAAGGGGGTGCAGAAATTAGCAGAGGTGGCACTACCTGAAAGCTCATCAGAAAGGGGAGTGAGAACAATATCAGGCAAGAAGGGTTTGGAAGTATGGATCAGAACAGGAGCACTTTTAGCACTGCGTATATAGGCCGATGGCAGAGCACATTCACCAATGGATCGGCTTCTCATGGCTTTAAAAAGGAAAAGAAAGAAGTGGGGAAGGAAAAAAGAAGAGTGACTATAATGAAAGGCTTGTGTCACAGAAAAAGCAGCAACAGAGAAAACAAAGATAAAAAGGAAGAAAATTCAAAAATTAAAACATTTCAGCACGGCAGATATTGGCAGAGCTGTAAGAAAGAAAAAAATCAGTGGACACATAAGACATTCCGAGTTTTCAACTTTTATGTAAAGCAGCAACAATGCCTTTATTATGACAATTACAGAGATTTTGCATTTGAAATCAAGAAGCTAATTAATACATTTTCCCACTGCATCAGGGGTTGAAAAATCAAAGTTAAATTTACTCCACAAGCACTCTGAATTTGATTATTTTTTAACAGAAAAAGTAACTTGCACTACATTTGTATTTTTCTAGCTTCCTTCGATTTTGTCCTGAAAGTGTGGCTCTGGATTATACATATACCCATACTCTTGAATTCATGTTCTCCAAAAGAGATACAGAATCATAGGGAGAAAATGATCAGTTCTGTGTGGAGAAATTTACAATAAAGTTTGTTATAGTTCCACATTAAAAATGAAATTACTGAAATGAAATGGTTTGACAATGAAAAGCATTAAATTATTTTATCCATGGGGTCTGGCTTTTAACTGATACTGGCTAAATCTTGCCAAACTGATGTTTATTCACCTTTTCATATCTCACATATCTCACTGCCAATAGTCCTACAGAATAGAAAATGCACATTAAAATAGTGGCATTATAATCGACGTTATATCTGCAGCTTTTCTAATGGATTTAAATGAATCTTTGACATTTGCTTTTCCTTGTCAGAGTAAGACACAGCAAGAACTGATACTGCATTGAACCTCAAAAGTACGCTGGAAGTTCTTAAAAAAGTAATATCTATTGCTTCAAGTAGCTTGCTTTCATACTGTTGAAAATTTGCTAACTTGTTTTAAAATTACTGCTGATAAAATTCTTTAAGGAAAATTCAGAGTATCTAGCATAAATATTGTCAGTGCAATGTGTAATCAGTCTGAACTTTTCTCTCTGTATCCGTATTTTCAAAACAACATGGAATATGACTTAGGAACTTAGTGCTCCTGATCTGCATGGGAATCAAATGTACATGTATGGAGTGTAGTGAAAGTTGAGCACATCACACTTCCAAACCAGGTTAAAGAATTGTTGCTAATAACAACATGCAGGTAACCTGGGTAGGTCCCATTAAGCAGAAAATACATTTGACAAATGCAGCAGAAATTAAGAAGTCTTAAATTCAGTTTGAAAAAACAATTCAGAAAGATAGACCTTTTAAGACTGAAGCAATGCTCTACTTAACTTTGTATGACAGAAACTATTTTTGTAGAAAGGGCAACTATGTGTAAGACTTTAATATCAATTGTTTAAGAGATACTGTAATAAAATTCAGGATACAGTTATAGTTAGATGCAATACATTCATCACTGTGAATCCTAAAATGAATGTAGGCAAGAGAAAAAGTTAAAAACCACACAATAAATATCAAGGATCTTTTCCAGGCTAAGTTATTCTAAATAAATTAAGCTTTTGATATTGGATACTGTGTTGATTACAAATCTTAACATAAAGTGTTCCTTTTAATTTGACTGGATTTTTTCCACCATATTCAATTATTCATATTCATTAATGAATCTTAATAATATTCAATTAAATAGTTAGGTGGAGGCAGACAATATCAGAACAGGTAGATATTTGATAGTTTATAACCTTCCACTATTGTCCATACAAAAGTACAACAGTAGGTAAGTAAATTCTTTCTGATACAATATTTTTACAGGACTAGAACCTGCTGCCTAAGCCAAAACTCCTGTATCTAACCTTACAGATTTTTCAACCCATATGCATACTATTCTTAAAGGCCCTTTCAAAAAATTATTTTACATAAGTTCAGGCTATAAATGTACATACTGCATATCAAAAAAGCTGTGATTTTTATTTGAGTAACACGCACACACATATATTTGGTACAGCAATAAATGTGTGCTGGCATGATGATGGCTCAAAAAATAGAGGTGCAAAGATGTACACAAAAATGTGTACAACATAAAACAGATGAAAAAGAAACTCCAACTTTTTCTCACCACAAAATATTCAACATGCACATCCCCCCTACTCAGATATTAAGAGTATATATTATTCACAATCAAAGGGAATGCAATACAAATCACATAACATGCAACATGTTTAAGGTCTGACTCAATTCCAGACTTAGCTTGCAGACCTAATAATACACTGAAGGAGAAGATCTGACCAGTAAAATGTTCTGGATTTTACTTATTGTGATTTTTTTTTTTTTATTATTTGACCCTGAATTAATGGCACAGATTAAGGAGCATCTGAGCAGCTCTCTTTGTAGACCAGAGATGCAGTAACAAACATTTATTTTCAGGCAGTTAAGATATATGTAACATTTTGTAACATGTTCCTCATTGGCATTTAAACAATCTGAAGAGTTTGGGATTCTGGTTCCAGCAATCCTTTTTGGACTTATTGTCTTTTAAAATCATCCCAGCAATGCTGGGATGCTTGTCCACAGCTGGTATTCTGCAACATGAATAGAGTTGAAATTTTAACTGGTTGCAGTAATGCGAACTTGGCTTATTAATATCAAATATGTAAGATAATTGGAGGAAAGGAACAAAACCATGGAAGCTAAAGTGCAGTGAAACTAAAATCAGATTACTTTGCTGCTAACCGGGTCAATATATAGCTTGATTAGGATAAATTCCAGTCATTTCAAGGCTAACATCATATAAATAGCCATCTTTCAAATTGCAGCAAAACAAAAGCATTAATAAATTGACCAAACAACATAACCTTCTGACAGAATATCTGAAATATTAACAATTTGTAAAGGAGAAATTTTAACATGAGTTTTATCTTGTTAAGACAATTAAGATTGAAAACAAAACTACCATTACAGTTAATCACAGACTACAGAGAAACAGAAATTACATTTAAAGTATCTGTGATCTAAGAGCAAAACTAGGTGCTGTCAGCATGAGATACAGAAAAAGCTGTGTAGAAATTGAATGTGCAAAAAAGACAGGAAATTTTGGACTAGAGAGTTCATTTTCTCTCATTTCTGTATGCCTTACAGGACAATTAATTCTGACACATCGACAAGAGTCTTAAGAGAGAAAAAAATTTAAAATAGAGAATTTTGAGGAACAGTCAAATAGAAAGTTTGTCTAAATAACCTCTATGACTTAAAAAAATTAACTTCAAGTATTTTTGGAAAAAGAAAGAAAATTTCAATTTCTGAAAAGCTAGCATTTTATATATTCAACTGCCAATACGCATTCCAAATTTTTAAAACTGTGTCAGAATGTACCTACTTCCAAGAAGTATCAGTGAAGCAACAAGACACAATGACCAAAGCCACTACTACTATAAAGATAGTAAAGAAGAGATATTCCTTAAAAGATTCTTCTTTTAAATACAAAATTAGAACAAGCTTAACTTTCCTTCACGTAAGCAATAGCACTGAGATCAAGATGAGACAAAAGAATAAAGAAATTTGTAGTCCAGTTCCTGTTAACACAGTCTAAGAAAATAATATGAACACAAGTCTTCTTTTGAGTTCACCTAAAGCTTTGTTCAGCATAACTCATTTATAATACAGCAAAGAGTATCTGCAAGTAATAAAATTCAGAAATAGGTGACTTCAGAAATGGAGAGTTGCACACATCTGTGTCAATCTTTCATTATTGCAATATTCAGGGTATAGTAAAAGCACATTTTATAAACTGCAGACCTACACATATTTTTCCCACTTTCCTTTGCACAGTTTGAAAATACTCAACACATCTTGTGCAGTGTATGAAAAGACACACTTCTCTTACCCACCTATCAGCACCATAGCTCAAACCACTCCAGCTTTTTTCTCCTTCATATACATACAACAGTATTATTTTCCAATCTAGCTTAAGCATGTGATCAAATTAATTAATAATTAATATAGCAACTGCATTACTTTCATTCACAGTTATTGTAATTCCAGCAAACACAGCTACCCTCAAAGCACATAAGGCTACATAATTTACGCTTTAACTAATATGTAAATCATTACAAATAGTATAGCTTTGTGGAAAGAAGCTATCCACATTGCTACAGAAGTCAGTTCTTAATTCCCTACCCTTTCTCAAATGTCACTTTTATCAGCTCTTACAGATACTTACCAACTGTTTTCTGCCGTACTATGCTCCTCGCCTTTTCTGTTCCTGGAGAGCCAGTGGTTGTAGCACTGCGCTGTCTCATTGGTGCTTGTCCAGGCTGATCACGGCTCCAGCCTCTAGAAAAGGACTTATCAACAGAAGACTTTGGGAATTCATGCCCAACTCCTGCAAAAATAAAATTGCAAATCTATTCACTTCTATTCTGCTATCACCAGATGATTGTAGATGTGTTCTTTCAAAAAATTTTAAGGCTGGATGGAATAAATTAAGTTACCATAGCAAGTATGAATTCAAAAGCTCAGCCAGCACTAACTCTGAGGGATACTCAAACTTTTTCAGAAATGTTGGTGCTATTAAACTACTGTAATTTTCTTTTCTGAAAAAATGGGCTTACAGGTTGTAGTCTGATACTACATGTAACTTTTCCTCTGCTGCTCCTACCAGATAAGATACACTAAGTCATAGATTTCAAAATACTAATATTTGGGGAGCAGATTTCCAAATAATTTTGCAACATTGAGGAACATGAAATAAGGATAACATAATTTATCACAAACTGCAAAAGCAAAAAAAAATTGGATGATGGGCTCAGAGAACAAGGCTCTTTGGAAATTGACAGAAAATCCTACAGTAGGATTAAGATGGAACAAATCAGATGTGACATTTACATTGAAGTAAATAAAGCTCATATGAGGAGCTATCAAAAACAGCTAGATGTAAAAAAAAAGTGAAGTAAAGAATATTTGCAATGTATTTCCTTATCCAGATTGAGCTCATTAATAATCAAAACTGACACAATTACAATCATTAAAGGGGCATCTTTTTAGAAAAATGAGCTCTAGTCCAACATGAGTTGGACTGTGAGTTCTTCCCCAACAAATAGGGGTAAAGAAATTTGGCATAATTTGTATAATATCTATTAATTCTAAAGCTGGACTTGATTCTGCATTTCACAATGGAGGCTTTCTCTGAAACTGTCACTGAAGGGTAACAAACTTTCCTCATGTTGCTCAGATGATTCTTTCAAAATGCTTTTTAAAGTATATATTCAAATAACTGCACATATTCTTATCCTATACCAGCCTGCTCTTTTTTTTGCTGTTTGGTTTGGGGCTTTTTTGAGGGTTTTTTGTTTCTTGGGAGGGGGTTTTGGTGTTTCTTTTTGTTTGTTTTGTTTTGTTTAACCTGTGATTTTTTAGTAAGAAAAAGAAGAAAGCTATGAAGTATAGGAAAACAAAAAATGCATGGTCTGGAACAGCCACGGGCAACTACAGAGAGATGTATTTCTGTCCAGTTATTACACAGCAAATACCAAAACAAAACTGTGAATAATGACTCTGCTTAAGATGAGGCACAGAAGCATGTGAAATATTTTTAGAAAAAAAAGACTATAGCAACATCCTCTTTAAGAGAGGCAATCCCCATAGGTCGCTTTTCACTGACAAACCTTAACATAGTACTAGGATACACCTTCCCTTGACTGAAGAGGTAAAAAGTAGCCTAAAAATAACATGCTTTTACATCTTTGTTACTCACCCTAAATATAATCCTGCCTCTCACTATCAGATCACAATGCACATTTTAAAGGAGAATATTATCATTATCCATGTTTTACAAAAGTGGAAACAAAGTGATTTCTAATTGTCACATGTAGAAGGTCTATCTCAAACCAAGAAAAGAATCCAGGTTTTGCAACTTCAATCCAAACCTCTATCCAGGAGGACAAACTTCCTGTGCCTTACCAATTCCAAACTGTGCTATTATAAGCAGCCAACTCCTCTTCCCATATTATGTCTTACAGAGTGTTTTATGCAGTTTTAAGGAATCAGTTTAGAAACAGGTTCCACTCATATGGATTATTAAATTATACTTCCCCTTAAGTAGTCCACAAGGTCATCATAACAAAACCTGTCTTCACGACGGGCTAGTGATCAATTAGTACCAAACAAAACTATGTTCACCTTACATTTCATCTTATAACATTTCAAGATCAATGCCCTAGTTTTAACCAGCTGAGTAGTCTTTGTTATTTTCAAATAGTTATGATTGGGACTCAACTATTTAATTGCTTTGAAAAAAAGAGAAAGGCATAACCCACTGCAGTATAACACTTTAGTTTGAATTCAACACACTTCTAAGAACTACATTCCATATGTGCCTATTTGCAGAAATAACATGATCATGTTGTGGTAGTTCTAAAAGGAAGTTCTACCTTAAAGAAACAGGGTTATTTCAGGTGAAAGCAATGCCTAATTAGGTATTCAAAAAAAGGTAAGACCAAAATTATCCTGTGCCCAACACCAGCTCAAATTCAAATGATGTCTTTACAGTGTTGTCTTACCTTTGCCTTTGTGTTTTTTCTGTTTCTGCTCACTTAATTTATCCAGTGGCAGGTCACTGAGGTCCAGGCTATACAGGTTTCTAGCTAATACTTTAGTAAGTGTCTCCATTGTCAGTGACCACTCAGTGGCCAGCTCTTCCCAGTATGTCAATGATGACATTACAGACAGCAAGTCATCCCAAAGTTCTCGAGAAATGTACACATTTAGATTTGCTTTGATCCAAGCTACTATAAGAGTCTAAAAGAACAGAGAAAAGTTGGATTGTGAACATAAGTTGACAACATTCAATTGTTACTATTTCAAAGGAAACTTCAAACTGCCACAGAAATTTCTGTGTAGTCCTGACATTTTTTTCCTCACCAGTACACACAGATTTTTAATGAATTATCAAGTGCCAGCACAGCATTCTGACTTAGATACAGGAACAACTGGTTTGACCCATAATCTTGTGTATTCTTTTTTGTTCTGTGAAAGTAACTGGAGACTATAGATCCTAGTCACTGAGAACTCACCACAACAGTACTTTGCAACTGTAAACTTTGAAAGGCTTTGCTACAGCTTTGTGTAAGGAATTACAGAATTCTCTAAGAAATAAAAAAATCAATCAGTTAGGCATGAATAACACAGATTTCATGCTGACTTGAGCTAATTTTGCTATGGCAGCAGGCTAAAACTGCACACACTGCCAGTTATCTTTGCCAGTTATTCCAACACAACTGAAGGACAGTAATTCTTCAATTTTACAGTCCCTCAAATACTGTTGTCACAGTGTCATTAAAATATAGGCCAGAAAATAACAACTGTAACCACCTCTTTGACCCACACCATTCACATTATCTAGGTAGCATATCAGTGATTTAAGATGACAAACTAGCCAACAGTGGAGGTTGTATCAAATCTATTCATGAAAATTAGGCTGAATTAATTAAAGTGAATTTATGTTTACTTGCCTGGAAAAGAGGTCCTGCAAGTCTTCCAGCTAAAGTGGAGTTTTTCCTTCCTTGATATTGCAAGAAAGTTTGGGGTGGTATTTTCAGCACAGATTCAGTTACCCTGAGCAGCACAAGTAGCATCTGCTCCCTGCAAAACAGTATTAAACTTAAGAGTTATTGTTTTGTTATACCTCTGTATATACCAAGGCATTTTTAAAGGTAATAATCAAGCTTTATTTGCTCAAACACATTCCAAAAAGGTTGTAATGATTACAAAGAGCCTAACTTGGTTCTTGCAAAAGAAATTATTCCAATATTTTTCGCACTTAAGAGTGAGGAATCCCTGCTTCCCTGTAATATCTTCCAAGTCATTCAACTGCTATCATCTTCAATGGCCTGAAATTAGAGGTGAAGTTTTAACATTATTTTCAATCTGAGATTTATTTTTCTATGAATTACAGATTTTGGTAATTTTACATTATCATTAACATACTTCATTAATTATTCTGTGTGGCACAATCCTTGCCATTATGGTCTAGAGTCACTTCTTTACACTGATGTGAAACTGGGAAAGAAAATACCAGTCTATTACAATCTGTTTACTATTATCACTCCCAAATTTCCCAGAGGCCAGCTGGCTCTTCAGAATTGGCTCTTCAATGAGGAGACAAGCTTCACACGACACGTAGTGCCAACTTTACTTACCCAGAGTTCAGGAAATACTACTGACAGATTGAATGCAAGTCAAGTTAAAATTGAATAAATCAGACATTTGAAATCCCCTTGCTACTTCTTTGTTGTAACAGAGAAGGGCGGCAATATAGTACCTCATTACAGATTACTATTTAAAGGAGTGGGAAATAATAGAAATTCATTTAAGGCAGGGTTTCTTGTACCTGCTGGGCACTGGAAAGGCACGACACAGTTACACAGTAAACAGCCTCCTGTATGCAATTACAGGTCAAGAACAACACACATCTGATTGTAATATCCATGCTTGTCTGAGGCTTTTTTGTTTATTTTCAATAAGGCTGTGAAGCTTCATGTTTCAATATTTTTAATGCTTTGATACATGAGCAAAATGCCCTGGAAAAAATCATCAGTGGCTCCTTAATAACAGTCTGTATATCCCATCTTAGTCCTTTTTGCACTGAGGTCTAAGCTGCCACAAATTACCTAGGAGCTCACTAGAGGCTTTAAAAAAGAAGATTTTCTTCCCTGAGCTAAGTTGTCTATGGTGTTCATGTATTTACTGACTTAGAGGAACTGGTTCATATAATCAATAGCACTCTTCTGTGTTTACTACCAAATACATTTTCACATTTGTCTAGTGAACTAATAAACTAAGATAAAAGCATTAGCATTTTACCATGTCTTCTTGTCCATAGTCACTTGGACTACCATGTGGCGGTAGATATTGAGAATGCGTTTGCACATATCAGTGTGTTCATCCAGCAGAGCTTTAAATTCATTTGCAGGTTCAAGAAAAAATATATTTGAAGAATTTATTATAAAAACCTGTAAGCAGAAAAGATTGGATGTCATGATCCCGAAGGACTTTGATGTTTTCAGCAACTCAGTTGGTAGAGGCAGGAAGAAAAAATCTCTAACAGAAAATCTTTATCAGAAAAGGTTGCACATGCACACGGAAATGTATGTTTAAATGTGTCAATTTGAAGAAATGATTAAGCAACAATGAGACTTATCTTTTCCCCATTTTTTCTACAAAACCTATTTGTATATTTTTGTTCTCACAGACAATATGATTAGTTTAATATGATAGACAAAAATGTCCCAGTGAGAAGTCCATTGCACAAAAGTTCCACCTGTAAGCCAGGAACTGACTAGTACAATATATGGTAAACTGCATGAAACAGTCGTGGTACACAGTGTGTGCCTCAGCATGACACAGCCTGTATTATATTCTGGGAAACTAAAGCATTCATCCCACTGGGATCAGTAAGGCTTACCAAAAGTAGGAAACTGGACACGTTCGCCAAAGTGACTGACTTCAGTGGGCAGTGAATTAGGGCCTTCAGAATGAAAATTATGAAAAAAAAGTAGGCAAGGACATTGTAGGAGCTCCAGAAGCAGCTGGTGAAGTATTACTATGTTTTTATGTAAGTTAAGAAAGCACTTGAATCTCAAGCCGAGATTTTCAATTATTTTTTTACATGTATGGAAATTCATTGGTACTAAAGTCATAACTTCACTCTACTGAAAGCTTTGGATTTTTAATAATTAAAAACTATTAGTATGCAGTTTTACATTCACTAGCCTCAACTAACGAATCTAACCTATTCTAAGTGCCTAGAAATAAGTCTATGCAAGCATTAAATGGGAAAAAAACTCAAGACAGAAGTCCTGGATTATTGATTCACAGAGAAAATCAAATATGGTTCCAGGTCAGGAAATCTCTCAAATTAAGACATGGTACTGGGATAGAATGATGTTTTGACTCTGTTTCAGGCTAAAAAAAAAAAAAAATATATTTGGCAGTCAAATGAACCTTTGTCTAAAAATATTTCAACATGAATAATCTTCCAGACATTGTCAGATGTGTAAGCTGTAGTAGTATATTGCAAACAGAAACAGATACTTCACATTTCTTTTCTCAGTTACACTTCATATTCTAAAAAGTTGCTGAAAACAAAGATTATGAAGCTTAAATTATTGTAACATATTTGAGTTTAAAAATTATTTCAATTACAAACTTTATTTATATATAACAGTGTACAGCACAAAAGAAAACTCTATTCATAAAATTATTCAAGCTGTAGTAAAAATGAGTTTTACTTAGCATGGTCACACATTAAAGTGGCAAATGCACATTATTTATTTTGTTCAGAATAAATTTTCTGCTGGATATAAGAATATTATGGAGGCTAGAGTCATATACCCACCTATATGTATGTATGTGCACACACATATACTTTATAACCAGAAGAGCATTTCAAAGACCCTCAAATAATACCTTCCCAATCTTCCATAGCCTTAATTTCAGTGAAGCATTTTGGTAAATATTTGAAATTAACACAATTTCTACCCCACTAGAAGTTGCTAAAAAACATCTGTTAGGGTACAACCGCAACTCTTTTTTTCCTTAATGGTAACAACGGAGAGTTATGGCACCTCATCAAATTTTCAGAAATGCTGTAAATTCAGAAAAAGAAGAAAAAATATCCCTATGCACCTTATTAACCAGACTAGAAAAACTGTAGGATTAGATGTTTTGGCTTTTGTGACTAATAGCATAAAAGAAAAAAGTCTCTAAACATTCTCATAAAACACTTAATTAGAATTATTTGAAGATGCTGCAGTAGCATGAGGATTATTTTATCTCTGATATAATGCAGAGGAGAATGCATGCTCTGATGCAAAATTAAAAAAAAAAATTATTTTGTGTTACCCAACACTGGTCTATACATTGTCCTACTTCAGGTCAATAAAGATATAGTGAACCAGTGTCATTTGTCTAACATTTATCATCATATTTGTTGCATATAAAATAATTTTAAAATTTTGAGATGCTTTAGAGATGCATGGGATTCCCTGACAGAAGTATTGCACTGCATTCCACTCTTCATGTGCTGATAACAAGAATTTTAGGTTATTTTAGATAATTTAGATAAAATTAAATACCAAGTCTGTTTCATACCTGCAACACTGACTGCACTCCAGCTCGTACATTTTGCTCTTCAGTATCAATTTCAGATGTTTTATGCAAAGCATCTTCGTAACAGCCATTTCTTGTCCAGTTTGAATTTCTAACGTGACTGGAGTTCATCCCTTTTTCCTGAAAAATATTTTTTCTTGAAATTCCACAATTTTTTAGACAAGTAATTTATATTAATATTTATATTTCCTTTATATTAAAGGAAAAAGGATATAATAGGTACTAAATGATAAACAACAGCAGGCAAATGCACCTGAGACACAACAATATTTCATGAGGCTTGTAGCAATTATCTTAAAGTACCTGAATGGAGTAACTACTATTTTTGTCATCCTTTTATTTGTATATAATTTTTACACAGTTGAAAGTTGGCATATTGTATAATCCACACTTGAAAACAGTTCATAAAATGATATAAAATTTTAAATTGAACTAAGTACATTAAAAAGCTACAGATAATGAATAAAATTGGTAGTTCATCTATACAGTGTTTTACCATTGATTTTCCCCAATAAACAGTCTGACACCAGAGAAAACCACATATAAACTATCAAGGAAGCTGCTTCTCTGTCTACTGGCAGATTAATGCAGAAATATTAACCAACAATATTTTACCTCTTCTCTTTCTTTTCCTTTCTCTGATGAATTATGGTCAACATTTTCATCACAATCTACAGTTGTGCACTGCATTATTTCTTCAGGTTCTTTCATAAATAAAGGTTTGTCTTCTTGTTGAATCCATTCTTGATATACCTTCACCACCTTCCTCATGGCAGCTGCTTCACATATCGGCAACAAAAATGCCTGCAAGTAGAAAAAGAAAGAAACAAAACACTGTTACAATATTTGAAATAAATTGGGCTCTATAATATACAAGTTCTAAGAGATAAAGGTGGAAAAACACAGCCACTGTAGGATCGTAGCGTACAAACTATTGCCACACCTAAATGTTTGCTCACTTTCTTCATATATAAAGTGAAAACATAAAAAACATTTAAACAAGAAAACTTATCAAGAAATACTTTGAAAGAGATAAGAATTCATGTGGGCATATCTATTTAGCACTTAGCCTGCTGAAATTAAGACTCAAACACCCATCAAAATATGTAAAACGAATGAGCCAAAGTTTCTATTACATCTTCCATTCAGAGGATTTGGAAAAGTGGAGTTAAACCAGCTCTAAATGACTAAGAAAAATTCAAGTCACACACAATACTGGTAGTTGTCTATCTTATTTTTAGCTAATTAAGACTCTACAAAACAGTATCCTTAAAGCAAATGACTCACTGAAAAGATTTCAGTATTATTGTTTCTAAAGATCATGCCTTTTAGTTGGTGTGATGGCTGATCAGTGCCCTCTTCAGAAGGTTTTCTGTATTGGCTCTGCTGGTAACTACTAGTCATAGACCAGAAACTTCCAACATTAGTCAGACTCTAACTAACTGTACACTTACCAAAGATCATGATGCCCTAATTACACATTTAGAAGAACAGATAAACTACACTAACAATTTTACAGGGTCTGTGCTGTGACTGTTGAAAACTAGTTGACCATTTCTTTAAGGAAGGCCCACTTCACACAGGTAGTTATGTTCACTCTGGAAACAGAGATTTCATACCATTATCACACTAAAAAGAATTCAGCTGTGTATTACAGGATTAAACTGACAAGTTCAGTCCTGTACTTGCTCATCAAGTCCAACATTCTTCTGCAAGCCCATATACATTTTTTGTACCTTCAAGTCTAAAATGCAAAAAACTCGTTCTCTACAGACAATCTTTCCACCACTCAGTACCTCTGAAACCTCCTCTTGACAGGAATAACTTAGTCCTAATGTTTTAGAAACGTTGCAAACATCTTGTGTATTAGAAATTAATTTACACTGAAAACTCCTGGCTAAATCATGATGTAAATAAGATTTCATATTTGCACATGAAATCCGAATGATCTACATAAACTCACAGAGTGACTTGTGAAAAGAAGGAAGTAAACTGCCTTTGCTTCTTCTCACCATGGGAACAGTGAAAAGTAGACCACTGATGATTTACACTCCACATTCAATGTCTCAGACTCTGCAAACCCTTGAGTGTCAGTTGAACTTGGGTAACTCTGCTATGTCCTTCATAATGTGTCCAAGCTCTTCAATACAAGGGATGTGGATAAGCTTCTGACATTTATTTGCCTCATTCAAAAATATTTACTTCATCCAGATAAATGAGTTTTAAAATGTTAAGCTTTCTGCTGTTTAAAGAAATCGGTGTTGTGCATTTAACTTGAAACTTAGTATTATCTTTCTTTGCCATTATTCAGAAAACTCTGTCTTTTGATCTATAGCATGGGGCATAAAGAAAGTTCATCTTGTTCCATTCTCCCGCATTGAACTCCAAGTTACTATTAATAAAGACTCCATATTCTGGCATATGTTCTCAGTTTAACTTAGTTTTAATAGTTTCCAGTAGAGAAATACTATTCTGAGTAAGCTCGTCTAACATTTCTGGTTGCAATGAAGTCAGAAAGAGAAGTTGCTACCTTTTATAGTCATCTGTCCTACTCTTCTGATGAACACTATCAAGGAAAGGACATTCGGATGCTCCTAAAACAGCTCTGTAACAGCTGCAGACTCCCACAGGAGGCTTATGTCAATATGGTTGGCTGTGAGTTCTAATAGCTACAGTGTTGATGTATGATGTATTAAACATTCTCAGTCTATGGGGAACTGTGAAGACAAAGTTAAATGTTGCTAAACTGGTTATTAATGTTATAAAATTAGAAAAATCATGAACCAGGGGTATTCTCTACAGCAAGTATTTCAGAATTTTAGCTTTCTGATTTTTGAAGGCAGGACGACAGAAAAAACCTGCAACTTGGTATAATGCTCTGCTTAACAAGTGCTCTTGAAAGAAAACTATGACATAATGAAAATATACAATATAATAGTCAAATGAAAATATACAATATAATAATCAAGATTCTCGCATTCTAAAGAGAGTTTTTTTTACCTGTCGAAAAATCTCAGTTAGAAAGTTAACATTGCTTCTTTTAGAAGAAAAGACTCTCCGGACAATTTCAATATCAGTTAAATGCTCTTCATCAATACTGCAGAGGCTGGAAGAACTTGGTTCCCTCTCTGTTAGAGTACTTGTATTAGAATGAGATTGTTCTGGTTCTGCATTTCTATCCTGCTTATCAGTACTGTCATTTTTGCTGTCCTCCCTTGAAGCCATGCTGGCAGCTGCTCTCTGAAAAAAAATTAAAAAAATATTCCACAGTTCATTTTTAGTACAGCAATAAATCAATACAACCTAAGTATAATTTAAACAGCACAAAGAATTAAAGAAAAAACAAACAAACAAAAGGATTTACTGCATTTCAAGGCTTCTAATGTCCAGTTGATGAAAAACAAATCACAGAATTTGAAAAAAGAAAGCAGCATTGAAGGTCCTTTCAAAGTGAATTAATAAACATACAATTTGGTTAGAAATTCCATTTTTAAAAAAACTTTTCATTAGTTGTAATTATTGGAAGAGAGCATACTGCTGACATAACAATTAAACCACAAACATGAAAACAAATACATTTTTGTGTTTGGTTTACCTGAATATTCTTTGGCACATTTTCACCTTCCATCCCAGGAATATGAGGTCCTGTATGAGGTTTTGGCTCAAGCCAGAAAGACACCAACCATCGAATGACAATAACACGAGCCTTAATGAAAGGTTCCTTTGTGCAATATATTGCCTCATTGGTTTCAGCATCTTTCTTAACTATTACGTAGTGTGGCTTTGGTCTCATTTGTGGTATATCTGTATGAAAATACAACATCTTAAAAATATACGCAGCGAGAAAGACCTGCATAAGAAAGAAATCCTAAAATCATATCAAATACACATGAACTTTCAGAGGTGTAGTTTTGTTACGTTCACTGTTGCACCACTCATTCTGAGATGCGCTGGAATGGATGCGACAGAGAAATTGTCAAGAATTGCAAGACACCAAAACACTTGAAATTTTCTCCTGAAGCAAGCCAACACTGTTGGTCCAAAAGACAGAAACTTACTTCTGCAATGCAGAACCTTTAATTTTTTATCTGAAAGTGATTTCTATAGCCTTACATTTTTGCTTACATTTTTTTTATGTAAGTAAACACACTTCATTATTTTCAGGTTCTTTTAAACTATATTATACTCAATATTTAAAGATAAGCTTCAGCAAACTCACTACTTCAAATTTTAATTGAAAACTAAAAAGTTCCAAGTAGCAAAATAACTGACGACTATGGCCTACACAAGAGAACTATTTTCATATAAAATTAATATATTGTCAAATCTAATCATAGCTACAATGGGAGATATATAATTCCAAAATGCAAATGCAATAGGCACAGCCTCTTCTCCAAAAGGTGAAAATTAACAGAACACAGAAATCCTGCTCCAAAGCCACATGAGCTTTGCAGCTTCACCTAGGGCCCCATTTGCACTGGCTAATTTTGCTGGATTTTGCTGCCAGACCACAGGCACGTATATTTTCCTATGACTTAGCCGCAAGATGACTGTGGCAATAGCTTCTCTACTGGTTGGTAGGGAATGCAATGAAGGATGCTCAGGGGCACATCAGCTGGCAGGAATTGTGGTTGTTTGAGGACTAGAACTGACAACTCCATTTTCACCATCCCATGTTGTACATGATGGTTCAGAACTGTTTAGCTTTTCTGTCTCTATTGTGCTAGAGTCATCAGTACTCCTGAATCTGCTTCAGAAAAAAAACACAATAGTACTTAACGCAATGCGGATGGAATGAACATGTGTAGTAAAAGCACTACAAAGATGGGGGGACACATGGATACTATTTTTAAATTGCACATTTTCCTGTGACTTAACACTGCAAAATGTCATTTCTGGGCTTTACAACCCAAGAAATGGTGCAGAAATAGCTCTGCATTACCAATCATCAACCTGAAGCAGCAATGGTACTTTCATATGCAAACAACACTTCTTTGAAAGTGGCATGCCAACCAACCATAGTCCTAGTCCTAAAAGGGCAAATATGACATATACTCCAAAACAAAAAGAAGACAAATATTTATGTGAGGACTGATTATGATATGTGCTGTCAGGACACCCTGATGCTGATGTTTCAGTATCATGATTTCCATCTAGTAACATGCAAAAAAACCCCAAGAAACTCAAACCAAAACAAACCCAAAATAAACAAAAAGTCCAAACCAAAAAACCAACTAACAAAAAGATGGAAGCATGGAAAAATGATGGTTCTATCCATATAGGGTGAGTGACAGATTGAACAGAGATGGTTATGTCAGCACTGTCTCAACTCTTCTGTAGCCTGCAGTACATGAGCAAGAGAAAATTTCCATGGTTCTACAGGCTAACCAGAAATCAGTTCAAGGATACTAAAGGTGAGAGTCAAAGATTTTAAAAAGTCACAGTGAACAATATAAAGTTATTCCCTGATTGTATCCTCCTAAAGCAAAGTCAAGAGTTGTTTTAAAGGATCCTGCATAACTTTGCCAGTTTATGGTGTTAGAATCCAAGAAGGACAAATCTGGACAGCAGTGAAGAAATAATCAACTATTGTCTAAGCAATTATATTATGACAGCCTTTTTAAGGCATCTAAAGTGAAATCAGCGTATCTGCAGACTGCTGGAAAGATTTCCTTGTTATAATTACAAATATACAAGATCCAGCACCCACACTGAGGATATCCATGCTGGTCTATCTCAGTGTCATTTCAAAAGCCACATATGTAAACAGTGATAAACCCACCATGATGCTGCTAAACTGAGGAATGTTTCCTGTACAAACTTCAAAACTACATCCACACTTTTCAACGGAAGCATGATTTTTAGAGGAAAAACCCCACAATTCTTGCATACCATCTACCTAAGTAGGTAACAAATGCACAGAATACTCTTTGACAAGTTTACAAATTGTTTATTTACTGCAAATAAAACCCCAGTACATTGCTTTCATTCTGTGGAAAGCAGCAGGCTAGTAAGAAAATTAAAAATTAAGGTATCTTAAACAAGTATGTGTAACAGTACAACCTCTGAAAAAGGAAGCAAATGCCTGGTAACACATTATTTAAAGATGCAAAAATCAGTTCTCTCTGGTATCTATTGGCATTCAGCAGAGCATGAAGGCTGCAATACTGGCAGTATTTTCAGAAGGACTGCATGCAATAAACACGTTTTTGCAGCACACTGTCTCCTTCTTGTTTCATGACGACGTCTCAGAACATTCTCTTTCTACGATTTGTTTCAACTGCATTATGTGCTGCAGCTGCTTCTCAATGTATCCTCCTCCCAGCTTCTTCTTGTATTTTCAAATTATGTCCATGTTGGAAGAAGGTATCAAGGCTTCAGATGAGAAAACACATAAAACAAAAGCAAAACAGATCTTGTTAGATGGACTCAAACAGCACAAGAGTAAATATTCCCTTCCCTCAACCTTCCATTTTTTCTTTCTACTGTATTTTGGGCTTTCCCCACCCCCTTCCCTTCCCCCTCTGGGAACCTGATGTGAGCTGATGACAAAAAGGGCAATAAGCTGAAGGGTTGGAAGACAGACACAGGGTAGAAAGTGAACAGGCTAGCAAAAACACAGTGGACACTTGTAAGCTTTGACCATGCTTAATTTTTAAGATTAACAAAGGGTTCATAAGGAATGAAGAGCTAGACACAGCTGTAGGACAACCCACTTTAGTGTTTCCCTGTAAATGAAGGAGCCTATCTAAATGGCTTGGAAATGGCACAGAAAAGCACATTACTATGACAGAAGTAGTAATGCCCCTGGAATATTACTGCCATATCTGTAGCTCTTAGTAAACAACTTCTAACTCAATCTCAACAGATATTTAACAAAGACTTTACAATCAAAATAAACAATAAGGCAAAAAAACCCCCAAAAACAACAAAAATACCCAAGCCAAAACATAAAAAAGCAAAAAACTCTAAACAAAACCAAACTAAACAAAAACCAACCCCCTCAAGAAACGATCTCATGGGTTTTTCTAATGCTGTATTCCTCTTCTAAATCTGTAATACTAAAGCCAGAATTTGAAGGAGCCACAATACTTAGCGTTCATCTAACTGGAATGCTTAGTGCTTGCTGCTGTAGGCAACATATTTATCAGGAAAGAAGGAAAGAAATCTCAGTCCAGTGTACTGTCTCCAGTAAAGCCCTGTATCAATGCCTGCTTACTAAAATTACTGTTCTGATTTGCACCTCATAACTTCTCCTAAATTAAACATTACACCAGTAGCATGAGAACTGTTCTTAGTAGCAGGCTCAGTGCCCAAGTCTGCCCTGCTTTCAGCCTCAAGGCTGTAAATTAAGAATAAGCATGGGATTATTTTCAAATAGGTTGGGAAGACGCGTGCCAGAGAATAATATCTTAGAGAAAAAATTATTCAACTTACCAATGCTTCTGTTGTTTTCAACACTGTATTGTTCCAAAAAATCCTCCTTACAGTTGCTCACTGTGCACAGTTTAAGGCACTCTCAGTAATTCTGGGGATCTGTGCACATTTCTTCGTTTCCCATTGTCCTCTTCTTTACTAAGGCCTTGGAAGTCTCTTGTTTACAGTTCACAGAAAAACAGAGGACTACAGTAACACTTCTATGGAAGACTCAGTCAAGATCTTCATAGAAGGAGAAAAATAGCATTTCCATATTTCTTGCTCTGAAGCATCAAGAAACAGTAGGTTTGCTTTCTCAGCACTGCTTGCTATCCCTCTTGTAGCTATTTTCATTGAACTTCTTCAGCATCTGCACAATAACTCTTATTCTACTGTTACTTATGGCTGTATTATACTGGCTCCTCTCCTGTAGATGAAAAAGCCCACTGTTTGTCTTTCCCAAGAGAATATGGCTTTGACACAACCATCTCTCAAATCTAAATAAATGTACATGGACTGGAAGAAGCTAAGACCTTTTCAACAAACTTTCCCGACAGCCTGATTCTAGAATGTGGAATTGTTTCTGAAAATCACTACTGTGGAGAGTTCTTCTGAGATGCTGCATCAACAGATAAGAGGAATGGTGATGTGACTGTACGACTCAAGTGATGAAATGGTAACTTAAAACCTCCGTACAAGGTATGGCTTTACAAAAAGGAGTCTTGAACTCTGTTGGCCTACCACCAACATGTGCATGGGTGCATGCAAACCTGAGAGAACAAAATCAAGATTTGCAAACAACATTCTGGTTTAAAATGGGCTAAAAACTCTGAGTAAAATTCAGATTTGCTTAGAAAACATCTAACATTCCACTCTCTATATGGAAAGAAAAATTCTAGCACCATCAGCTTTGAAGACTCTGATAAATCCTATCTTCCTTTTCCTACTGCTGGCTCTTAATAGCATGCAGTTGGCACAAAAACCTAACTTTGCCCAGTCAGAAATGTGAGCAACCACTGTATAATCCAAACACTGTGATTCTGTACAGATAAAACCAACACACCCAGAGAACAGCACACTAACACTTTATTTCAGCAGCAGTAGTTTCTCTTCAGAGCACAACTGAGATTAACAATACAGGTCACATTAAAGAAAGGTTTTACAAGACCATTTAATTTACCTCATTCAGGTTAACAGAGCAAGATTGACTCTAATGAAAGGGTCAGAGGCTTCCACAAACAAAGAACTGAAAACCATAAACAAGAATCTTAACACGTTGTTTCATGACAAATACTTTTGGAGAATGCCCTTCATGGGCAACATGACTCAAGCTAAAAACTGCTTTTCAATACTGTCTTGTTAAGAGTTAGAGAACACAATTACCTGTCTCAAACATTGTTAACGCCACAGAAGGGAGGAATTTGTGACAGGAAGGTGCTAATTCCAGGCCTAACAGAGGCAAGATCTGGTTAGCACATCCCGGCTAACACACTCCCACTGCGACAGACTGTGTGACAAGAAGGACTAGCTTATACGCTTATCACCGGTCAAAAAAGTAACATCTCAAGTTATGGCACAGGCAGCATCTATGGCCACCAGTGGCCACCAAAGCTCCCCCAAATACACCTCCATGGACACTCAGAACCAAGAGCGTACAAAGGCAGTACTGTTGTCCAGGTGTTAGGACCTAGGAGGAGGTTAACACAGCTTAGAAAGAACGATGTGCTACTGATAGTGGATACAAAGAATGCAGAATTTAGGGGCCATAAGAACATCTGGCAGAAGACAAGGAAGAAATTATTTAAACTATCTCAGCAATTCTGCTGAAATCAGTTCCAGCTGGGTAAAAGGTAATTCCACAGAGGGAGATCTGTGACCACCGACTCACCAACCTAAGAAACCCACCATCTCAAAAGAAGAGAAAGACTGAACACCAATGCAGACTAATTAGCACAAGATGCATTTAACCAATAGAAAATGGAACACTAATTAATAAGAGAACTATATTACTTGTAGCCAATAAGCAATTCCTTTGTTTCTAAAATGTATAAATACTGAACAGATTTGATGGTCAGCAGCAGACCTCATGGATCCAGCACCACTTTCAACACAGAGCTTACTAACAGATGAACAAACCAGGACCCACACCCCACCACCAAGCTCAGGATGAAGAAGACCCAATGACACTGCTGGATCCACAGGTGGTGATCAGCTTCTACTGGCACTCTCTCTCTCTCCCCTTTCTCTCCCAATGCAGTTAATGTGACAAAATAAAGTCAGTACTGTTGAACCAGCATTTGGTCTTGTTGTCATCTTAATTTGAGCAAAGGTATCTCTCACTAATCAGATCATAACATCGCTATTAGATAGAATGCAATGATTTTATCAGCTGTGTTAACACTTACCAAGTATAGGGTTATACAAGCTGGTCTCCTTACAGATGTTTGGGAAAATAGAAGGTAAGTAGTATTTCTTAAAATTTGAGAATAAAAATGAAAATCCCTTTTCCTGGTTTTCCTTGTTCTTCCATTCTAAACTCTTAACCTTAAAATAAGAATTTGGACAAAGTAAATATCTACAAGTAGAAAAAATAGGTAACTGATGAAATGTTCTCTTTATAAGTAATTTCTTTGAAACAAAATCATATATATTTAAACAAACAGTTTTAGAAAGATGAAACAGAAACTAGCTGGGAAATGTCAATGAAACAAAGATTGTTCTCTTCCAAAATACTGTTTCAAAATGAACTTGAACACATAAAATACTAAAACCAACAGAAATACATTTGCTTTTGCAGTCATCTTGCCAAATCGGGGGTATGCCCAAATTGACTGTTTTTAACAAAATTATTTTTATATTTCAAAATGTTTTATCAAAAAAGAATAATTACCCATGCTATTCCAAATATTTCTCTGACAACTTCTTTTAAGACATTTTCACTAACAAGTGTCCACATAGTCGTTGTAATAGGTACTTGGATTCATTTGTGTAATTGGCAACATGAAACAAACAAATTTTTCAACCATAAGCAGCAGAAGATACGACTTTGAAGTTGAGTTACATAATGTACTTTCATGGATCATGAGCGCTAAGCATTCTCCTTCATGAAGTGTTTTCCTAAACAGTAAATAGTACCTAGCATGGTAAGCTCTCCACAGGAAATACAACTTGCAGTTTCCATCTTTGTTCCTGAGAATCCATCTGCCTGCAAAACTAAGTAATCTACCAAGTCTATCATAAATAATATAAAGGAAGACTCCTCTCTCTCTTTTTTCCCTTTCCCCTCTAATTCTTACTCAAAGGTCACAGTTCTACTATGATCCATTTTCAGGGCAATGGGTGTGTAGAGTGGAATATATATGCTTATATTTCACTCTCCAAAATAACTCAATGGATTAGCTGATACATATAATTTAGTGACACAAAGTCCTTTAACAGAAATTAATATCAAAGAACCTTGCAATTATCAATGGCCTCTAAAGGGACTTCAGCGAACGACTTCAGCACATAACAAACAAGCTCTATGACACCTGTCTCAATGACCTATCTGAATTTAAATATATGACTACCAATTTATTACAGAAAAGGTAGTTGTCTTCAAAAATATAAGGGCTATTTTCCTGCAAAGTAAATAGCCAGAATTAAGCTTACCCTACAGATCACAAGTATGAAGACCTCTATTCAAAGTGGGAGATGCTGGAAACAATAAAAGGAGGCTGGAAATGATTCCAGCGCGGCAAGTTCACAGAATTGTGATGGATAAAGGGAAGCCATGAAATGTTTAACATAGATCATATTAGTACACTGTCCATCTTCTCTAGTAAAACCTGCATAAGCATGAAGAAAATTTATAGGTACCCAGCTGGGTTCTGCAGGACAAGTCTGATGCAGAAGGCAGCAGTCAGCAACACCTACCATGCATTCAGCACATGAGAGCACGGTAGGCTCAGAAGCAGCATGTGCTAATTGGCCAGCAAATCAATTACATAACATGTAACAGCTGAGCCACAGTTTTTGACAGAAGCTGTTGATATGCCCCATACTGGCTGAGATCACAGAACTGTCAAACTTCAAAGGGAAGAACATTGTTTGTGAGTTGCACACCATAGACTAAATACTCATTCAACTCTTCATTTTCTGTACACAGTTGATCCACTGGTTCAAGACAATAAGACAGGGAAGGGGAGATGAAAATGAGACGGGAGCTGAAATCAGCATTGCTAGAAGTGACTAACAAGTCTTATTTTGTCTCCATGCTACAATCTGATGGAAGATCCTGTGGTAACAGATGTAGGAATCTTCACACAGAAGACAGGGAATATTTTTCTAGAAGAATTTGCTTTTAACAAAAAAGGGAGTGGCAAGGAGGGACTCTTTAAAACATTTTCATATGCATTTGCAGTGCCACAAGTAAAAAACTTACTGTAAAGGACAAAGAGATGTTAATTGTTTGCTTGAAAACTATAGAACATACCTGAATTACCATGTATTTCAAAAGTGCTTCTAAAAAATAGCTTGTTAAATCTTCTTGTCCTTTATCTCCTGATTGTGGAGGAACAAGTGGAGTGATTTCTTCTATAGTCACTTGAGCTATTTAAAGAAGAATAGAGGTACATCTAACGTTTAGACCATTTCTTCTCATGTGTAAACATCTATGAAGTTATGAAAGTAGAAATCCACTGCAGCAAGCAGAGACAGTTTAGAGGTAGAATAGTCCACCCATAGATTAATGAAAATCAGGAAATTTTAACTTATAAACCACCATGGAACTAATTTCTAACACATTTAAAAAGCACAGCACACAATAAGTAGGTTTTCTCTATGCACTTTTGGAATCTACCTGCCAAACCCAAATTTTTAAAAATTTCTTTTGGAATTTATGCAAACAATACTGCAACACTTACGGTACACAAATGCCAAATCTTTATTTATATCTTTCACCATTTTTCCATTTAGCAGTTGATACATTTCCTTTAAGTTTTACTATCTGTATCCTTCTCTGCCTCAACAGTGAAGCTAGCTCAGAGTTGATTTTTCTCCTGTTCCTGCAGTTAGATGTTCACATGTCAATCTTTGCACTGTGAATTTCATAAAATAACTCCTAAAAAGGGCTTAAGTAAGTAGCAAAATTTTACTTGCAGAGCTATCCTGCCATGGAATTTGTCTGCTGTGTTTCTGCAAATTTAATTACTTGTCATGGAGACACAGCTTTCCTCTACAAGCAATAAAATACTCAAATACTAAGAGAAGATGGAAAGAAGGCAAAGTACAACAGTCACGGGAAAAAGTGTTCAAGCTTTTATTCCCATTTATGTGAATGCAGTTTGCACTTAGATTCAAAGACCCCATCCAATTTCAAATCATTAATAAATGAGCCTCAAATCACACTATCAAGAATTGAGTTAGGAGGCACTTAATACTAGAGTGTACAAAGAAAAAACTGTCCTAAGAATCATCTTAAGAGAAAAATCATCCTCACTCTATTGATTAGGGCCAAGATAATGACCTTACCATTAAAAAAACCCCAAAAAAACAAACACAATAAAAAAAACAGAAAGTAGAAAACCTCATCTCAGAATGCTCAAGCCTTTTTCACTCATTCAAACCTTTAAGACCTCAAATTTTGCAATTTACAAGGTCTGATTCTTTTCGAAGATTCCAAGCTGCAAAAACACCACAGCTTTAATTGTTTGGTCATTCACAGACACATTTGTCCTTACACACTGGCCTAACAATCACTCATTCTCTTGACGGCCACACCAGAAACAGCTTTGCACAGCCTGCTTTGCAGTAGATGCAGGATCCTCTTGGGAGTTCTTAAGAATTATACACAATTGGTCAGTTTATTTTCACTACTATGCATTAAGCTATGATAACCTACTTGGGGGAAAAAGCCCAACAACCACAAAAAAACAACTCATTCTGAAAAACAACAAAAAAGACCGAAATTGCTACAGAAAGAAGACCTGACAAACTGCTAAGAAACTCATCTTAGCTTCATTATCTCCCTGGGTATGTAGGTATGTATGTCAGTTACTTCAACTGGCCTTGTCTGTGACAAGATTTGAATTACGTCAAGAATTGACTAATATCACCGAATTACTTACTTTCTTGGACATTAAGGGGAGGGTTAATGAGATTATCTAGTGTTCGGGGGCCATATTCAGACTGTGGTGATGAAAATCCAGGAATCAAACAAGAAAACATCCATAATTGTTCTTTACTACAGTTATTTTGAAGTGCTTGCAGCCACAAAAGAAAGAGACGCACACCCTCTCGACGTATCTTAAAGGAAAAAAACATGGAATAAGTTATCTTGTGCCAGAACAAACAAAAGCATTTCCATTTGTCCTGGAAGGAGAACAATAAAAAAAATGAGGACACATAGTCTGACCCCCAGCAGTCAGCCAGTCAGCAGAGCCAAACTAGCACATTTGCTGCTCCTGATGAAATGCAAGGGCAAGCCTGCCACCTTCACTCCTGTGTCTCAAAGAATTTCTAACCGGGGTTTCTCTGAAAGAAGAGGAAGTAAACCAACACGTCTGGTCACTTGCTTGACTACAGCACTGCAAGATGCCACATGAATTTTTCAGAAAATACAAAAAACAACATAAAATTTCTAAATATGTTCATTAATAATAACAACAGAGTGACTGAGCTTTCTGTATCAGAAGGACCAATTCTACCTTCTTCCATTTCTCCTTCAAAAAAGGTAATAGAGTCCTAGAGTACTCCCTTCCTGGCTCTCATACTGGAGAATTTCAGTACCAGAGAATTCTGCAGATGGTTTACAGAGGAGTGGTGAAGCTGTTTTGTCCCAACCATTTAAATTACTCTACACACCAGCAGGTCTCCCTGGTATAAATCATCTTTCACTTCCAAGGTAGTCTGAGCCCCAAAATCAGCTTCCTTGCCCTAACAAAGAACAGTTAATGCTCACTACTGCATTAATGCAAAATCCTTTAAATCCAATGGCTATGCTATATAAACACAGTACTACTGTGAGTAATTTTACTGAGATAAAGCTGATGATTTGGAGTCACTCTTTCATGACACACAAGTCATGATCTGGTTCTCATTCCTGGGTTTTTACTGTAAAAATTTGCCCTTATGTTCTTATTTGTACTTTTAAGTATTGTAGACAAAAGTGCATGCAACTTTTTGCAATACCTTTAATGAATTTCCAGTGTGAAGAAGCTTCTTTAAAATCAACCCTAAAAAAACAAGGAGAAAAATTTTGTCCGTTTTTGTTCTTTCTATATTAAGTAAAATGTCAGAGTTCTCGGTCAGACTTGATAGACACTTTTAAACAAGTCCTTGGCAATCTCCGATTTAATCTTGGTGACCTTGATACCTTCAAGCAACTGACTCAATGCCAGAAGGAAAAAAATCAAATATCACCTTTCATAGCCTGCTCATAGAGTATCCTTCCCCAAGGACTTCTGAGATGTGTACATTAAAAGTAAATCATTCTCAAGTCATCACAATGCATATAATCAGCATTCTCTATTTACAAATACCTCACATCAGCTTTGAAATGTATTACTAAGAGAAAGAAAACAAGGAATATATAATAATTAAAACTCCAAACTTTTCACCGGCCCTTGTTTTTTTTCTCAGTCACTCTTCTACTTCTACATTCCCAGATTTAAATCTATACAGAAGAGTATCATTACATTGGTGAGGGGTTTCGTCTATTTCTTTTATTTTCTTTATTTTCCTTCACCTAGCTTGCAAAATTCTCCAGACCATAACCCCTGTGAAGCCACTTAAAGTGTAAGAAAATGAATGGCCTAGTAGCCACTAATTGGTAGCTACTAGGAAAAAATACAATGAAAGAGAGAGGGAGAGTGAGAGAAAAATCAACTTACCAATACTATGAAATTGCCACCTCTGATGAATCCTTTCAGGAAGGAGTTGTAAAATTTTCTATAAAAATAACAAAAACCCAAGAATGTATGTTGCTGATATCACTCCTGAAAGACCAAACAGCCCTTTCACAAAGGCCACAGAGCAAAGGCTGAAGCATCAACTTAAAAAATCCCCACAATGCTTACCCCTGGAAGCATTATGGTCCTTTCAAGATGACCCCATTCCTAAAGCTAAGAAGCCCAAAGGCTCTGACAGACTGTCTGTAGGTCCTGCACTGGAGACTTCAGATGTTACTGCAGGTCATCTGGCTCCACTACCTCTCTATCTCTGTTAGACACTGCTGCTTACAGCATAGGGAATGGAATGGGATGAGTGTCTGTCCAGTTAATGGAATGGGATGAGTGTCTGTCTCAGTTGCTCTGGTTCACAACAGATTGCATTAAGTTATTCCACCTTTCCAATGGCTTCAGCTAGGATGTTCAGCTGTCAATTTGCCTCTGTGGCACAAGTAAACATTTGCTTCAGCCTTCTCAACTGAGATGCAATGAGCTACAGCAAAACAGTGCAGACAGGACCTCTACAAATAGAATAACCATCTCCAGAAACAAAAAACAGAGCACAGTCAGTAATTCCAAATCTATCATGTAAGACTTGCAACATTTACACTAGAGGCATTTGCAAATTGTAAATAACCTAACTTTTCCTGGCTATGGCCCTCCAGCACACTGTTCAACTGCTTCCAAAGCACAGATCACCTATAATTCCTTTAATCAGGAACTAGTGAACAAACGAACTAGTTCTTTTTCACATTCACCAACATACCTCATTATTAAATAAATAATAACTGAATTTGTATTCAACCATGTGATAAGCATTGATCAGCTTTTAGTCTTCCATATTTTTAAGAAACACAATCCTTGTTCTATAATTAGAAGTCTCCATCAAAAAGGAAAGATGAAAACTTGACATTCTAAGCTATTTCTAAACTACAGTGTCGGCTTAGAAATGTTCTGATTTTATTACATTATTTCATTAGTGTCTAATTCATCTTAATTAAGTCAAGATATACTTTTGGAAAGCATAATGTTAAGTGCAATTTTCAAATAATGAATATTTTTTAAAATAAGGAATTTTTTTTAAAAGGATTTGTGCAATGTAAAAACTTCCTGCAGTAACAATCTATTATGAGAAAAATCAGAGATAACATGCAGTCAAAAGCTCAAAAATACCATGACTAAACAGAGATCACTTTTCTACGAATTTCAGTGTGTATAACACATTATGGAGAAATACCACCACCAAAGAATAATCAACTATCTAGAGACACAGAAACATCTTTTTCCAGTTTAGACATTTTCTTGCAAAACTGCAAGTCAAATTTTTATTTTTTACACAAAGCACATAAATTCAGCTCTATGTAAAAGTAAGAAGGAATTCGTTTAAACGTAAAGTTAAATTCAAAAGATCTTACCTCAAAAATAAAAAGAATAGAATCTAATTCTTCTCTCTGAGACTTGTGACCTAGTTGCAAAAATAAATAGTTAAAATAATTAAGTCGTTAAATATAAATATAAGATTCACTTTCCTTATCAAAACAAAGATCCTTAAATGTGTAAAATGAAAACCTGCATTTATACAACCATAACTTTGCACTGCTTCTGCAAATAAAATTTACACTCCCCAAATACAGTTTATAACAGCTACAATTTGCATAACTTCCTATTATGGCATCTACAACTAGGAGAGATTAAGTTACACATTGCCTTGTTACAGAATAATTCTGCAGAATGCAAAGTATAACGCCTTAAGAATCCTCACTTTGAAGAAGGGCAAACACAGTCATTGGAGAATAAATACTTTTTGCTCACCTCCACTGTATGCACATCTCATTGCTCTGCCTGTATTTGCAAAGTTAGTTCTTAGACATATTTCAGCACAGCTAATGTTGTCATTTGTGACCACACAGAGCTTTAATTATAGCACCCTGCGTTATTTCATAACAAAGACACAAGCATCAAGACAAAAAGAGTCCTATCTGAAATCCTTACCTTTTTGTTTAAGGCCCACTTCAATAGTCACGAAGTTTTCAAAAAATACATAATATATATGTGAAAAATGTAGGTCGAAAAACTGTTTGAGATCAATTGATTCTGCATTCTCTGAAAAACAGAACAGAACATTGTTTATATTTCTTTCAAATATTCAGAGTCAACCGCTACATACCATTATCCAGCAGTAAGAACTGAAGATATTTAGAAGAAAAATTACTGTTTTTTAAATAAATAACAAAAGAAATACAGAAACTATTGAAGTTTTCATTCTTCACACTGAGGCTAATGAAATTCAGTATGGCATGCCATAAGTGCCTAGTGAATTTTAAAACAGGGAGCAGCATCTTCTTGCACACCCATTGTTTGCATGACTAATGCCAACAAATGCCAGTCATGAACCCTAATTCCATCAGGACTAGCACTGCCCAGATGAATCTGGTTTCAATTGTTAATTTAATAGAAATAAAGCTAGTGACACTGCCCAAACTCTACAACAGAAAGACCATCACAACATCCAACTGTAATTATTAAGCACAACTAAGCTTACTAAAGAAAGTAGAAGGATGTTAAGTGAGGAACACATCTGCTCTGTAGATAAACCTAAGCTGGGAGGATGCAAAAAGCAGCACTGGATTCCTACTGTTACCTCCTTATTCCCTCCAAGCTCCAAGACGCTACTTTCTAGTCTGGCTCAGTCCCTCACACTCCTTTGATTGTGTGGCCTAGGGAAAACAGAAGATGGGATCTCAGGGATACCCTGAGGCGGAAACATCACTCTAAGTATGGGGGAATGTGCTTTCTTGTGTACCCCAGGAAGGTTCCCAGACTCTCTTCCCACAGCTTTCTAGATGGTTTTCTGCAAATTCCCGATAAAGAAATAGATAGTGATTTATCTAGATTAATTTTAAAGTGATCATTTTAAACAATCAAGCCTTAGTACACACTGTCTAGACACTCCCTGTCCTGTTTTTCAACTACATAAGACTTGAGAAACTAGGTGTACAAAACAATACCATGGAAGCACAGAGGAACAGGAAGACAGCATTTTAAATGGCAAAACTGCTCTTTCAGAATACTGATGTTAAACGAACAAAAGCAAAACATGAATAAAGGTGAGGCAAACAAAACCTTTATACCTTTTCATCAGCTGTATTCACTGAAACACCCTTTTCCCCTGTAGATATATCTCCTAAACAGCTCCTTCTAATTCTGTATTGGACCACAGAGTTTTTAATCCTTTTTAGAATGACATCAATCTTGTTCATCTCACATGACTGGATATACAAACAGTAGCATATAAAGTGAAGAACAATGAACTGAAAGGATAGCCAAAAGTATGGTGTATTTTCACATGTTTTCTTATATAGTTCTAGAGGACTATTAACTCAATTTTAACACAAATTTTGCAATAGAAGTTTCCAACACAGATTTAATTTTTGTTGTATCACAGCATTCTGGCAATGTCTTGCATAATGAGTGTAGTAGTGCCAAGGTGCTCTTGGAGCAAATAGTGCTATATCAGCAGCCAAGATCAACTCTTAAGCAAGGCAACTCAGCTGGAATAAACAGTGGTCCAGAGACTCAAGCATGTTCCTGACCATCCACAGGCTTACCAATCCCCAGGTTTGCAGAAACTGTCATACAACCTACAGATCAGCAGCTGAACTGCTACAGTTTAGACATGCAAATGTTAAAGGACAACAAAAACCAATTTCACTCCAAACAAGCTGAATGATTTTCAGCTCATCAGGGAAATGCACATGAGATGGAGCTACTGACTAGAGCATAAGCACAACCATTACAGCCACTTCTACCCATGGGTAGAGCCCTAAGTGAGTCCTAGGCAAGGGAAAAGAAAATACTGGAAGAAAAATCAAGAGTTTGAGATGGAAGGATTAAAGAAAAAAAGAAGGCAAAGATTGAGACTATCAGGAGAAAGACGGGTGACAGAAGGTATCTTGTAGTCCATATGTTTATAGGACCGTATAGGAACTGCACGTAGAAAGCAGCAGAATGGCTCTCTCAATGCAAGGGTACAGAAAAGACTAGTTCCAAATACTAAAGGGATAGGAAGCAGTTAAACATGGTCTCTTCCAATCAAAACACAAGAATGCTGCATTTTTGCAGGCATGTTAAATGTTTCATTTCCTGAAATAGGCCCTCATTCTTTCCTCAGACATAGGTCAACTCTGAAGCAGACCAACAGAAAAAAACCCAAATGCCTAAACCAAATGTATTCTTATGTCTTCTTTTAAACACTCAGTCTTAACACAATGGTGAGCAATTTTTGGAGATGCTATTCCTAAATTCTTCAGACAGCAAACTGAAAGTTTGTCTAGATAGCCAGCTGAACAGTGACTGTCACTTCACCACATAATTGCATATGTACAACTGGTACTGTGGTAAGACATTCTGCCTTTGGCTGGAGGGTGAGGTGGAATTTCAGAAGTTTGTCCTTTTTTACATTTTTTGTTCTTTTGTTACGTATTTACTTAAGAATAATGTGTCAATTACCTCAAAAAGTGCTTGAAGGAGCAGTGGTAAACATGTATTATTACCACTAACACCCAAATAACATTAAAAGCATACCTTCAAAATATAGTTACAGTTTGCAAGAATAGGAGGAGAGTAAAAAATTCTTTGACTTTGCATTTTCTATAGCCAATGCATTTCACTTTGATTCCTTTCTAAGATCACACTTGATAGCAAAATCAAAATCAAAACCGGTTAACAACTGTATTCTGCAGTAAATACTATTGCTTCAGATGGAAGAAATACGACATTTTATTTAATGGGAATTTTATTCTTTTATTATGTGAAAATAATACTTTTTAAAAAACCCACTAACTCTTTTTGTTAATGCTGAAAACCAGCTTTATTCCTAAGGGAGGGAAAACAGTTGTTCATCTGACAGGCTTGCCACCTACAGCAAAAGAGAACATCTGCTCATCATCGAAGGACACCTGTAGTGGTTCAGTAAGCTGATGGTGAAGAAATTTGGAAACTTGCATTGTTCGAGAAGTTTGAAATTCATTATGATTATCCTGACATGAATTATGGCAAAAAAGGAGAAGGGTGAAAAACAGTAGATACAGCATGGAGACAACAACGTAGACCTTAAGAGGGCTTGATCTGGCCACCTGTACCCAACATTCCATTTCACAGCTACCTCTATACTGAAAACAATCCACACGACTAATGCATGGAGAATATTGCTCTTCCTGATTACTGTACCATTAAAACTTCCAGTTATATGTTGCTTTTATAGCTTTCTTCCTAAATTAAGGATTTGGTTCTTTTCCTAATGTCTCTAAAAATATTCAGTTTCTCTCTCGTTGCCATCAGCTAAAGAAACAGCTCCTCAATTCTCATGTCATAATAATTTTCTCCAACATCAGCTCACTGTCACTTCTCTATGCTCTCCCAAAGTATCATGCATGCTGCATAGAGGTGAAAGTCATAACCTCTACAAGCAGCATATCCTTTTCAGCTAGCCTTGAACTGGGAATTGGCAGGAAATTGCTCCTCTGCTTTGGCTAGTTAAGTATTTTCTGTATTTTTAAAAAGAGAGACATAGCCTTTTTTTTATTTTTAATATGAAATAGGATTAAACAGAAACAGGCTTTCCTCTACAACTTCCAGTTCATTCCTGTTTTTAAATTTTAAACAAAAGAACTTTATATTCTTCTACCACAGATCATGTAACTAACACAAACGAATGTACTCGTGTTCTTGCTTCTGTGACCAGACTGGGAGGAGGGAAGGACTCAGAAGTAGATCTGGCACCATATGAAGTGGTTGGAAAGGTTCCTCAGAATGTGAAAGGGAAAAATGGGATACTATTGTATTCCAAAGGGACGTAAAAACTAAAGTTTCTACTGTACAATGCATAGTTTCAGTACTCTAAAATCCAGATTTCCAGCACTTTATGAAAGCTATTTGCTAAGAAAATGCAGTTTTCTTCACACTTTACAACAGCAAGAAACACGGATCTTTGCTGTTTTTTCCTTAATAATTTTCTGTAATTTAAAAACTGGTACAAATCTGATCTCCATACTGTGTTCAAGGGTGCCCTTTTTATTGTTAAAAAAAACCCAAACAACCCAAAATATGTTTGGGCTGAGTTTGTTTTAAGTTTGGTATTTTAACTGTTTACCTTTAAAGTTCTGTCCTGTGCAGAAAAGTACTAGCTTACTTGGTCGATAATATTTTAATTTCACACAATATGGTGTCTCTTTGTGTTTAAATGTAATTTTCTCCTTAAAACAAAACAAACCCTGCGAAAACAGATTTCAGAAATAGATTTAACTTTTCTGAAGAGAACTTTCATCAGTTCACACTGCACTGCAGAAATTTAAGAAAATAGTCTGTATCATTACAGATTAAGTCGTGGTTAATTTTATGTTCTATTTTAATCGTTTTAGAATGCAATACTTTGTTTATACACAAAATTGTCAGAGCACTTAGTATAATGAAAACATTATCCTGTCTTATTCCAAGACTTACTGGCTTTTAAGTCACTTTCCCTCGCCCTCACCAAAACCCAAACTGACAACTGCAGCAAACAATGACCTGGAAGAAGGCCAGAATTCTGGATCTATTTCTGTAAAGCAGAGGCCTGCTATGGACTGACACGGTCAGTATCAATCCCTGTAACAAACTGGTGCCACTAGAAAGCAAAGGTTTCCATGTCCTCAATGGATAATCAAGCTTATTAATTCTTAATTCTCCATGCTGAAAAATTTAAGGGTTTCTTTACAGCAAACAGTAGAGAGATTTGGTTACATAGGGACTGTCTCAAATAGAAAAGCATGTAACTGAGAAAGGTTAAGTGGAAAACCTCGGGAACTAACTGGTGGCTCTGGCATAGTTAACAGACTGTCAGAGTGAAAGATCCCTGATAACAGACCACAAATGCAAATCTATTAAACAAAGGCTTCACATTAGCCCTTACTGTTTCAGACCTAATCAAAAGCTATTTAGTAAAACCAATTTTTTTTTTAAAGGTAATTTTGTCAAAGATAGTATTCTTAAAGCTTTTGGTACTGAAAAAGAAATACAACTTAAAGAGATCTTCTAATGGACTTCTATTTTGCATCAGACAAGTC